GTCTAAATCAGGCTAGAGGTCAGGCAAACCAATCAGGCCACGAGTAAGGATCCAGGGGGAGGCAAGCAAGGATTACACCAAAGCACTGTCAAAATCAAGGGCGGAACCAGAAAGGCAACCTAATAAGCCAACAAAAGATGAGTTTGACCACATGACAGTCAAGCTCTACTACCACAGCTTCCACATTACCACCAAATTGCTCAAAGTGAAGGATGGAACCTGGAGGCAGCAGGTTTATGTCTCCAGGGTAAAATTCATTGGGCCCTTCAGTCAGCTGATCTCAGAAACCAGTGCTACTGGATACTTCCACAGAGAGCGTGACTCCTCTGACTGCCATTTTGAGCTTGGTATTGCTGCTATGATATGGGAGGTGGCCAGGCGATCTCCCTGAAGGCAGGCAGGCAGGCAGGCAGGCGGCTCTGGTAGAGGCGCTTGTGCAGGTTTGGCAGTCCTGTTTCCCAGCACTGTTGCTATGTGAAATGTTTGGATGCAATGTGGTGATTGATGAAGTCGACGCTGAGCAGTTGCTGTGGTCTCTGTGGGAATATTGTTGTTTTTATGTAAAGTCCTCAACGGTACTGAAATGAGCAAAGGGGTTCCTATAAAGAAAGGCTTCGAGTATTTACATTTTTAGGTTGGGGGAGGGAATAGACTTAAGGGGGCATGGGATTGATGTTAATAAAATTACACATGACATAGACTTGTGAGTTCTTCTCCAATATCCAATTCACTTGGAGCAATTCAAACACATCAACACCTTTAGTGTTAAAAGAATGTAGTGTGGACATCAGATTTTTTAGGTTGGGGGAGGGAATAGACTTAAGGAGGCATGTGATTGATGTTAATAAAATTACATATGACATAGAGAAAATGAGCAAAGAGGAGTGCCCAGCGGCAGGTACCTGTGGGGGTGTGGGGGCACAGGTTCTCCACGGACCACCCTCCCATCTCAGCTCCCTTTCTCTGCTCTCCATCCTGTTGCTCCTCTTGCTTTTCTACCTTCTCATCTCACACTTCCCTTGCTGGGGTTGCCAACCCCCAGGTGGTGGAAAGGGAGCAAAGCAACCGTGACGTATTATGCCAACAAATTCCTCATAGACTTGTGAGTTCTTCTCCAATATCCAATTCACTTGGAGCAATTCAAACACATCAACACCTTTAGTGTTAAAAGAATTTAGTGTGGACATCGATGAATATTACTATGAGGAATAAGGAGCTGCGGTGGCTCAAGTGGTTAAGACGCTGAACTGCAGGCTGTGGAAGGTCGGTAGTACAGCAGTTCGAGACCCGAGTTGCCGCATGACGGAGTGAACTCCCATCTCTAGTTCCAGCTCCTGCCAACCTAGCAGTTCGAAAGCAAGACATTGCAAGTAGATAAATAGGGACCACTTCGGAGGGAAGGTAACAGTGTTCCGTGCGCCTTGGTGTTTAGTCATGCCGGCCACATGACCACGGAAACGTCTTCGGACAGCGCTGGCTCTTCGGCTTTGAAACGGAGATGAGCACCGCAACCCTAGAGTCGGACTCGACTGGCTTTCGAGCAAGGGAACCTTTACTATGAGGAATGACTATAGTGTTTGCCAAATGGATTAAAATTACATAGGAATTTCAACGCTACCCACTCTGATAAAGTTTGCATATGAAATGAGACGCGAGATGCATGGTCCGCTGTGGTGTTGACGCGCTTGAATTGCTCCAAGTGAATTGGATATTGGAGAAGAACTCACAAGTCTATGAGGAATTTTTGGCATAATATCGGTTGTTTGTTTCCTTTTCCACTTCCTTCCCGTGATCTCTCTCCTTGGTTTGCAACCTCCAGGTGGTGGCTGGAGACCTCCCACTATTACAACTGCTCTCCAGGTGACAGAGATCAGTTCCCCTGGAGTAAATGGATGCTTTTGGAATGTGGACGCTATGGCATTATAAGCCACTGAAGTCCCTCCCCTCCCGATACTCTGCCCTCTTCAGGCTCCGCCCCCCAAATCTCCAGGTATTTCCCAACCCAGAGATGGCAACCCGTTTGCTTTTCTCCCCTCCCGTTTCACACTTCTCTTCCTCTCCCTTGCTTATTTTCCTCTCCCATGTCACACTTCCCTTCCTTTCCCCACACATGCTGGCTTCACAAGATGGGCGCATTCCTTTTTGGCTCCATTCCTGTCTGCGAGGCAAAAAAAGCGTGCGACAGCACCACCCCTGCGCTTTGTCCTGCTTCTCAGGAAACAGGATATTGCCCCCCATAGGCCCCTGAGACATCAGAGGAAGCCTCTTGGTTAGTGTCAGACTAGGATCTGGGAGACCCAGGTTCAAATCCTCACTCTGCCATGGACGTTTGCTGGAAGACTCTGGGCCAGTCACACACTCTCAGCCTAACCTACCCCACAGGGTTGTTGTGAAGATAAAACTGAAAAGGGGAGAATGTTGTAGGTCACTTGGGGTCCCAACTGGGTATAAATTAAGGAAATAAATAAATTCCCAGTGGGAGAGACACGACAGATCGGAGCAGCGGGTTTTTTATGCTCCTTTCTGGCTCCTAGGAGAGGCAGCAGAGCACGGCTTTTGTATGAGGTGTTTCCTCTGTTGCTGCCAAGCACCCCTTAATTGGGGCGATGGGCCAAGTCTTGGGGATATGCCAGTTCACATGCCTTGGCAGGCGCCACAGCATACCAACCCTTGGCGCGGGCCCCAGGAAGATAACTTTTTCATCACCCCCCGTGATATTAGAACTCAGGTCACCCAAAGAAATTGGTGGCCTGTAGATTCAGGAAAGAGAAAAGGCAGTCCTTGATTATACAACGTGCACTTTATTAGGAAGGTCACAGCTTACACAAAATGGTGGTGTTTTTAGGCAGTTTTTGACAGATTACAGTGGCTTCTTGTAATTGTGAGGCGTTACAAGCTGCCTCAGTTGCTATTTTGTAGAAAGAAGTGGGGTATCAATATTTCAAATAAACAAAAGGTGCTTAGGATGATGACAGGAGATTGGACACCATGAAAGGGCAATGAATAACTATGAAAGGTCTGTGAATAACTATTTGGAAAGTTCTGGTGAGCAATTCCTAACTGGGACCATAGGGCCACACTGGGGAGGGGAGTGATCTACAAATAATTTGGGGCATTCAAAACTTTTGGGGCCACATAGGGACATCGGGGTTTTTAAATTGTCAGACAGCCCTTTCTCCCACCCTGCACAATGACTCCCGAGAGCCAGTGGAAGAGAGTTCACACCATGGAGCATAAAATCCCAGATTTCACCCCTAGTCCTTTACAAAAGTGGCACATCAACATTGAGGAGGAGCCTGGTGGCCACCCAGCAAAAGCACTTATTTGAATTTATTGAGATGTGTCTTCAGCATGTTTATCATTAATGTAGCCCTGACGTTGATAGCCCAGGCTAGCCTGATCTCATTGGGTCTCAGACGCTAAGCAGGGGTGGCCCTGGCTAATTTTTGGATGGGAGACCTCCAAGGAATACCAGGGTCATGGCGTGCAGCGGGCAATGGCAAAATAGGGTTGCCAAGTATCTTGCCTTATAAACCCTTCTGGGTCACTGTAAACCAGCTATGACTTGATGGGACTTTCCATAGTTGCCTGGCTCTAAGTCCTGTTTTTATGTCCTAATTTGTTATGGCAAGGGACGGGTGGGGATATCCAATGATAGTTTTGCATCCTTCATGTGTGGGAACAGATTAAACTAAGAACCAGTGGCTGAAGAGAACCTCTGAGTTCAGAGGCCAGGGCTGCCAGCATTCAGGTGGGGGCCTGGAGATCTCTCAGAATTACAACTGATCTCCAAACGGTAAGAGCTCAGTTTCCCTGGAGAAAATGGCTGCTTTGGAAGGTGGACTCCATGGCATTGCACCCAGCCGAGGTCCCTCCCCTCCCCAAACCTGTCTTTACAGGCTGCATCCCTGAAATCTCCAGGGAGTCCACAACCCAAAGTTGGCAACTCTAGCAGAGGCAGTGTGCCGTAATTAGTTGTAAAAGTGGGAGATCTCTAGGCTCCACCTGGAGGTTGGCAACCCTAAGACACCACCAAGGAAACGCAGTGTGTGTGTGTGTCTCTCAAGCACACCTAGCTGCTTCGTATCCAAAACAAAACCCAGGCAACGCTTTTTATCGAGACCAACTGAACTAACACAAGCACAAGCTTGTGTGTTTGAGGGTTTTTTTTTGAGTTCTCCATAACGCCTCATCCTCTCTGGATGATCTAAAACAAGAGAAAACAAGAGGCGGCGAAGGGGGGGGAAGGAGAAGGTCCTTTTTGCCCCCTCCCTTGCTTAGAAAACCATTTAGCATCACTAAAAATGTCGTGGCGCGGTATTTTACGACATTGCCGTTCGTCTCCCTCAAAATCATGAGACGGCTCTACGTCTCCACCCCCCCCCAACGACTCAGCCCCGCCTCCTACTCGTCAAGTCCCGCCCCTTCACCCTCCTCCCCCGCCCAAACCGCCGCTTTCGAGGAAACCTGCCGCGCTTTTCTCGCCGGCCGCTGGGCGCGGCGCCCTCGTCCCCTCCCTTCCCCCCCCCGA